CCGTCCATGCCACCTCTGGCTGCCCAGCTGCATGCTTTCTGGCCTCTTTTTTCCCAGCTTCTTTCATTTTAAAAGGGACATCCTTCCGATTTGTCCCTAACTCGCCCCCCAAAACCCAGAGAAAACAGCACCGTACGAGGAGACCATTTTGAAATTGCCCAAGGAGCCTCTATGGGGACGGACAGACTTGGATCTCAATCTTAGCTGGTTGATGTTGGGCAAGTTACTTCAACTCTCTGAGCCTCAGGTCCTGTACCTAATGGTAATCTCTGCTTCAGAGTTGTGCGAGGAGCAAGTGACATCCAGCGTGTGAAGGGCTTGGCCCGGCACCTGGACACCCCTACTCCATGTGTACAGCTGCTGCTGTTCCTGCTGCTACCTCCATTAGGAGAAGGCTTCTGCCTGGTCAGGAGTTTAAAAGGCATAAACTTCACACCTTGTGCCCCAGTGCACAGAGGCTGGCCCTCTCGGGGCCTTCAGACCTGCAGATGAAGCTCATACCACTTGGCAGTTCACTGTGGACACTGCCTTAGCTGAGCAGAGTGTCACAGACCAGGGAACCTGCAAACCCAGCCACTCGTCAGAGCAGGGAGCTAGGAGCCTTGGACGGTCAGGTGAGAACACAGGTGCGCTGGGAACCGGGAGAGGCCTCAGGCTGTGCAGAGCCACTCCTGTACCCACACTGACTGCCCGTGGGCTGTCACTTCCCCCGGGGACACAGGGACCTCACTGACCTGCTTGCCGGATGGGGCCGCTGTCAGTGCTTCCTCCAAAGCCGAACTTGTCGCAGAACGGAGGCGCCCAGTGGGCCTCGCAGTGGCAGTTCTTCCTGTTGTTGCACACCTTGGGGGGCAGGGGACAGCGTTAGGGTGCCCTCTCTAGCAGGGGGCCATGCTATATGCTTGAGCCCTAGTTGAGCACCACACAAAAACAAGGGGACCGTGGCCGGCCCCCACTGGCACCTGCCCAGCCAGACGCTAGATGTCACTGTGAGATCTGGCCCCAGATAGCACAGGTGAGGCCAGCCCTGAGGCTGGGAGCGCTGCACCATCCGCCCATCATCTGCCACCCAGAGGATGGTGGGGTGAGGAAGCCTTCCTGGCTCCCTCCCCTGCCTCTTCTTGCTCTCCCCATCTTTCTTCAATCTGGGACACTGTCCCTATCGGGCTGTGATGAGAAACCCTCCAGTAGTAAGGAGGGGCCTGCTCAGGGGCCTGGAACCAGACTGCTGGGGCCTCCGAGACCCCACAACCTCCTGGCAGGAGGCGCGGGAGGCCAGGCGCTCTCTGGTCCCCTTAGGCTGGAGCGCTGAGGCAGCCCTGCAGCTGGACCCCCTTTTCCCGATGAAGGCTCTTCCCACTCTGGTAGGACTCACCATTGCTGGTTATGTAACTTAGTGAACTGGTGCATGAACCCATGGAATGTGACCCTGCAGGCCAGAGGACCTTGTTTCTAGGGCGATTTGGGAACACAGGAGAAAAGCCAGTCACTAAAAAGCACCTGACAACTTTGGAGTGCAAGGGACAATACAGAGTGGCCGGGGAAGCCAGGACAAGAAGCACTGAGCCCTCAGGTGGCTGTGGAGTGTCCAAGTTTCCCTCCACTTAAGGAAACAGACTGTAATTGCAGGTGCCGAACTGCTGCGTGGTTTAGTCACAGAGGTGAAAGAGCAACCATCAGTAAACCATGAAGTCCCTGCATCAAAATATGGGATCCAAACACATACCAACTGATTTCAAGGCAAAATGAAACGTTTGGAGCGTGTGTCTCACGGGAGGGTCCCCTGCTTTAACTGACTTTGATGAATTCAACAGAGGTAGTCACTCTTTTGATGAAATCACCCCCAACTGCTTCAGATATGAAGCCTGACGGTCGAGATCGCCTGTGATGGTTTGGGAGACAGCTATGAAGCTAGAAGCAGTTTTAACTAGCCAGTGGCATGGCTCGTGCTGTCTTGACTATTCCTGGAAGGTGCAGCTGCTAGGGAACCACCGGAGATTCACGTGCTGCAGCATGTGGACCCCTCCCATCTTGCAGCTGGTGTCAGAGAAATCACAGCCCTGACACCCTGCTTGGTGGGGCTAGCAGTGAGCCTGGTCTCATCAGGGAGGGACTGTAGCCATGCCCTTGGCACTAAGTCATGGCCAACTGGTCCAGAAAATGTGGGCCTTTCCTCTCCAGAGTGTGGATGAGGTGCCAGGGACATCAGAAAGGGAGGCTTCAGTCCTCCCTGCTCGCTGCTGACCAGTCAGGTTACTGTGCACACGTCATTCCCCCATGTATGCCTAGATCTGTCAGTAAAACGACGGGGCTGGACTAGCTCGCCTCTTATGGCCAATCAAGAGTGATCTATTATCCAGGGAAGACACAGCCATCCTGAGTTAGGCTGTGTGTCAGCTAAATGCTGCAGCCACCAACCCAAGAGGTGCGGCAGGCGTGATCCATCATGGCTGTGACTTGGCCTGAGCTTAGGGAGACACCCACGAGCCACATCGGAATCACTGGCAAGTGTCTGGAGATTTTAAAAACAGACATCAGGACATGACCTCTGCAGAAAAGGTTTCAGGAAACCAAATGAACCACTGGCATGGCCAATCAAGATTAATATGATTCCACTGGAAATAACTGAGCCCATCAGGAAAAATAAACCTCATTTTGGACTGTTCTCTTCTCCCTTAAAGCTTCTGTGAAGTAGAACACAGCCTGTTGAGTCAGGGACCTGTCGTGAGGGGCTTCAGAGCACACGGTCACCATGGTGGACCGTCTTGGCTTTAATCCCTTCCCGAAAAAGTTTGGTTCAGACACGTATTTGGAACGATGGGGGCAAGACGGACAGCTCTGTTTGAAATGCTAATGTGAGGCACTTCACAAGCAAGGTGAGCTTTAAAATGACTTTGAAGATGACAAAATTCTCAAAATCACAGAATGCTAATTTAAAAGATAATGACCACTCAATCTGATTTTCTCTGTGAAATGAAGATGACATTTCTTGTGCGATGTAAAGGTCAAAGAAAATTAACGTCGTTAGAAGAAAATATGGAGAAGACGCTGGCTGCTCTATTTTTAAAAAGCTGTGGGTTCCAAGAGCCTTTGCGAAGAGTGACTTCCTGCTCAGCTGGGTGGCTGGTCTCGGATAGGGCAGGGCAGCCTACTTACCCCCCGGCCGTGGCACCGCATGGCACAGTCCTGAACACCGAAGACGCTGGTGTTCTGACACCGCCGGTTGAGGCAGATCTGCAGGAAGAAAACACAGCAAGCACCTCAGAACTTCTGCTGAGGAGGCTTGGAGAAGACTCCCCTTTCAGGTACCTGGGGGCAGTAATTGGTGCATTTGCCGCATGGACAGGCTCCCGCTGTCTAACTCCAACCTCGGCTCCTGGCAAGACCAAGTTCAATGACTTGAATTCAATACTCATGAATGTTCTTATGCTTTATGGGGTTTAAAATGGCTTTAGTGCATCCTGAAGCTGTATCTGATTTTCTCATGACTTTTGTTTAGAGATGACAATGAAACCTACATATTAGAGCACTTTTTCTCCATTGAACAACACGGGAGAGGGTGAGACGGGTTAGTCCCGACCCTGGGGTCTGTGAAGACTCCAAGAATCCAGGGTCCAAGCGTCTTCAAAGAGAGATGTCTAAACGGGGGAACATTTTCAGAATTCCAACTGACAAGGAGCATCACTTGACACAAACCATCGACAGAAACGTCTGGCAGAGGGAACCAGGCTCCGTGTGTTTATCAAGCATGGCAGAGGCAGGAATTTGCCAAATGACACTGGACGGGTTGAGAGACACAGTGTCACCTAAGGTATGTGACCGGCTCCCGACTCCAGGGATCAGGTCCTTTCGCCTCACAAGACGAACGGTGGTGTCGAAAGTGAAGGGTCTGGTGTTTGGGATGCAGAAGCTTTTTAATTAGGTAGAACCTTCCTATGGGAAGAGTCCTATTTGACCCAACAGCTCAAGTAAGAGCAAGGGCCGACCCATGCAGGACTGAGGGATGGGTGGACCCTGGCCAAGCAGACTGTCACATTCCAGCGATAAGAATATCATCCCAGGTGGCAGAGGACACAGGTGCTCCTGGTCAGAATCACAGTGGTCGGTGCTGCTGGCCTCCTGATTCCAGGGGCAGGGCCAACGATGCCCCCAAGGTCAGCAGAGTCCTTGGACTTTTAGTGTCCTGGCACTCCTGCCTCTGGCTGCTAGACAGGTTTAAACTCTGGTGTCACTATAACATCAAGGCCAACGTGGCTAAGGAGGCAGGCAGGACACATAGCTCGCCTCCTGCACCATCCTATCGCAACAGCCTGTGGCCACGGGAGGGCGGGCTGGGGGGCCAGGCTGCAGGCCATTCCTGCCTTCCAGCTTCTCAAGGGAAGCAGTCCACATCTGTCCTTTCCTTCTTTCGACCTCCACACTAGTGAGAGATTCCAAATCGTGCTGAAAATGTGCCTAAAAAAAGCATTTGGGAGTTGATTCATCTTTTCCCTAAAACATCTGATTAACTTCCTATCATTTAGTCTGATGAGAAAAATTTGGTTTAAAAAAAAATCAGTGGGCCAGAACATGAAAATCTCAATTTCTTTTTTCCACTAAAAAGTTGCTTTTATTTCTATGCCTTAAAATACTTCTGGTTACCTTTCCCTGTGTTTTGCCAGGACCCCCTCTGGTTCTCAGCTGCCTCCCTCCTCCCCTCCTAGTCTTCTATGAGGACTCTGAACATACATCCGACTTCCATCCTGTCCAGGTGAGAAAAGTCCCCCAGAATCCTGTGCCAAACGCCAAACCACATTTCCCAGAACAATATGCTACCCCACCGTATTTCTTTCCAGAGTTATTTCTTGCCTCTAAACTCTCATGACATCCAGGGTACAGAAATGACTTATTGACACTAAAGGGTCAAAGAGAAGAGCTGGATTTCCCCAAATCTGTACCTCAATGGTCAGGTTGGGATCTTGGATTAACTGACTTTCTGTTGTAGGTGCAAAGAACGGGATTCCAGAGACCACATTCTGAGAAGTGGATTCAGGGAAACAGGCCAACCTCACACCCTGTTCTTAAATGGGCCGCCTTTCAATGGGCCCAGTCCCAGACTTACATTCATGATGCAAGTGAGAATTTGGGTCTTACTTTTCCATCTGCACACTTTGTCCCCGCAAGCACAAGCCCTGGGTCTGGCATGTCGTCACCCAAGTACACGTGGGTCCCCCGGCACAGAATCCGGCCTCCTTCCTGCAGTGGGATATTTGTTTCTATGGAAACAGCATTGGTACCAATGACTGGTCGGCTGGCACCTCCTTGACACTGGATTTTTCCACATTTAGCATCTCTGGAAGAGTAAGAAGAGAAAGCCCCGAAGAGGAGCAGTTAGGGACCACCCCTAAGCCACGTGGGAAGGCACAGCGATGACCTCATCAGGATGCATGGATTCCTTACCTCACGTCACATTTGGCGAAGGAGCTCTTGGAGTCCTTGCCACAGTTGCCGTAGGGATCACCTGCAGAGTTGACCCTCTCAAAGCAGATCCCGGGGGCGGGTTTAGCACCTGGAATAGAAGCACAACAGCACCTTCGTCTCCAGCAAGTGTTTGTGGGTTTCTTGGAACAGCCCTGGGCTTGGGGTGAAGGGGAGACAGGTTCTGTGTCCACAGGAATGGTGCCCAGCACCTTGGCCGACTCCTCGGGAGCTGGCAGGTGGAAGGCCGGAGATCAACAGCAGGCACCCACTCGGCTCAGCTCCCCACAAAGCCCAGGTTTCATGGCGTCTGTCCTCGAGGCCTGCTGTCCAGGGCCCAGGGCACGTGCAGCCTCTCAGGGGATGCGGCCTGGCTGTGCAGCCAGATTGGATCCAGAGCAGGAGGGAGTTGGTGGCTGGCTGCAGAGACGGGGAAGATTGCACTCTTTAGCAACATCCCACACAATTCCGGTGAGAAAATGCAAGCTAGGGCAGGCTCAAAAGAGTCACAATGACTAACGCGGGGAGTGATGAGAGAAGGAGAACAAATGAGCAAAGCAGCAATTTTGTACAATACTTTCAGTCCCAGAAAGCTTCCTATAGGAGCAAGCACTGGCTCAATTAGTGCCTATTCTTTGCAAGGCAGAGAATGTTCTGGGAGGCCACACAGTCATAAACCCTGGTAGTCATTGTGCACAGCATGACAGGGCCCCGCAGAGAGGGTCATGGCAGCTGGAGAGCTCAGGAAGTGGCCATTTTTAGCTCATCTTCCAGCCAGGGAAGGAGACAGCACGTAATTGGAGACTGCAGTGCCGACACTTTGGAGAGCTCTCGACTCCTGTGCACAGTGGCATGTGGTGAGGACTTCAAGGGATGCAGGAAAAGACAGCACATCTTCTCTCCCACACTGGCCTCCTCCTTGGGCACCTCCCCTCGCATCACTTCCAACTGCCAGGAAGCCAACTTCCCAGAGCCCACCTCTGGCCCTTGCCCTTCTCTGCTCCCAACTCCGGGATGTTCCATTGGCCTTCCAAGGTGACAGCAGAGTTTAGATTCTGACTGGATGATGGGCAAGGCCTCCTCCCTGATCACACCCGTGGTTCTTTAATGTCTGCCTGTTTCCTCCTCCTTGGCTGCTGCCACACACAACTGTCCCACAAAACAAAATAGCTCAGCACAACCAGCCCTTGCCCCAGAAGGGGTAGGCAGCATGCCCAGTCAGTCCTGGACCTTGGCACTGAGCTCTCCAGTCCTCACCTCTTACTTTCCCATTCTTTACATTTTAAAAGCCATTTTAGAGAGGCCTCCCCAAACTCTCTTTTTTTTTTGTGGGGTGGGAGGTACTGGGGATTGAAGCCAGGGATATCCTACCACTGACCCCGTCCCCAGCCCCTTTTTATTTGAATATTTACCAGCACCTTCTGCCTTCCAGACACCAGGGCCACGGAGTGACCTGATTGCACAATACTGCCTGCTTAAAAATTGCAACAAGAAAAACAGGGTAATGAATATGTTCCTCTGAAGTCGAGTGGCAGTTGCTATGAAGGGGAGTAAAGTGGGTGAGAGGGTCTGGTTTTTAAAGAAATATTGGTCAGGAAAAACCTCCTGAAGAGGAGGCTCTGAGCTGAATTCTCATCCTAGTACATGGACGGAAAGCCTGGGGCATGGGGGTAGAAAGCGCAGCCTGACTTCATGGGGCCGTCAGGGCAGGAGGCTGGGCCCTTCCCTCCAGGGACTGGTCATGGAGGCCTCCTCCTGTGGGCCTCACCCTGGGTCTCAGGGCTAGAGAGCAGAATAAACCCAGCCCATAGCCCAAGTGAAGCCAGATTCCATGACATGGGACGCATGGTGCCATCGCCACCTGCCAAAGGGCTGATAAAATGGGGTAGGAAATAGCCAGTCGTCCTTTCCCACTTCATAAGACCATGACCAGGAAGGCCAGGAGCTCCTGGTGGACACAGGGTCCCTGGGACCAGGGGCGAGTTGGTCCCACTCTGCCATCAACTCCATGCTGTCCTGATGTTCTTGTGGATCCTGTCCCTCTTACGATTTCTCGCCCGGGAATTATAAAAATATGGGGGCTCTCTTAAGATTGTGAGCAGATAGAAACAAGGGGGAAAAGACTTCGGGGAGTCCTGGAGTTGGGGCACATGCTCTGCACAGTGGCATCTGTTTGAAAACCCCGAGTCATAGCTCAGGGACTTGCCTGCACCATCTCTTCCTGGCTCCTAACTGTGAATGAGGCTCCTTGTGGCTCCCGAGGCCTGGTTCATTCTGGGAGCCCTCACAGCTTGGGCCTCCAGAACCTTGTCTTACTGAGTAGGCACCAGGAGACCCTCAGTAGACACCCGAGTAGATTGCTTTGTATTCCACTGGAAACAAAGGTCATCTTTCCCATGGTTATTCTCCTCATCTTAGCAAACATTTTAAGTGAATGCCACATCTCTGGTCATCAACCTGCCATTGGTGGGCACCCACTGGTAGTAATTGTGCTGGGAATGACATGTAGTATCCTTAGTCCTTGAAACCATCCTGTAAAGGTCCCCTTACCCTCATTTCACAGATTTTAACGCCAACGCTCAGAGTTTAGCTTGCTGAAGATCACCATAGATATGGCAAAGGTGGGCTTGACTCATGGAGATACAGCCCAAAGCATGGTATTTCCGCCCAGCCACAGTCCTGTGCTCCTCTCTTAGAACCACTTGGTTATCCACAGACCCCTCTTGTTCCTTCCTCTACAGGATGCAAACATGCTCTGATATGCCACCAGATGCAAGACCAGGCTCCAGCTCCACCAAATCTTTTTCCAAAGAATGACTTGACAAGCTATGGTGCCAGCTGCTATGTTTGCATATTGGGCGCAGAACTGAATTGGATAATGAATCCCTTGATTCTGAGCATGCTCAGTGGTGTTTCCTCCGAGAGAGGGGAATTAGAGATAGTTTATGCCTACTGATTTGGGAAAAGAAATAAATCCTGAATAGGATGACCAGGAAGCTTCTGAGAGAGAATCAGTTCCTAAAGTCACAAAGCTTGTTGGAGTTCGGCCAATAAAACTCATTCCATCCTGGGGCTGGTTTGTCCAGTGTCTGGGACGATGCAGGATTCGAAAGTTAACTTTCTGACACTTCCAGGAAAGCTCGAATGGCCTCCTTCCAAGAGTTTTCTTCCCTTGATCTGTCACCCAGAGCATGAGGGAGCAGAGATGCCCTGTCATAGTTTACTGTGGATGTATGGCCAGGACATGTCATTGCCAGTGGGGCACAGCAGTGACACGGCTCTCCGCCATGAGGATGCCTGTTCTCGTCCACTTAGCCTGTGGTTTCTGCCATGGGGTCTCCAGGTTGTGAAGAGAAATCCCCAGTTTGAAACAAAGATGTTTAAAGAGCAAGGGTTTAAAACAAATCAAACCTATAAGAACACAAGCACTTAAGACTTGGTCCACTTCACAGCCCGCCCTCACTAGCCCACCTCTGGTGTTAACTTATAGGATGGTGCCGTGAGAGGATAGCGAGGTCCCAGCTAGAGCTCTCCAGCGCGGCCTGCTTACGGGAGAGCCGTGCAGTGGGAGGGCTTCCTCTGGGGGCCGGGGCCAACTTCCAGGTTCACCAGAAAGACCTGAGCTGCAAAAGACATGGGGTTGTTTGATGGCTATGAAAATGCCTCTTCCATGCCCCTTCTTCCAGGAGCAAGGACGGGGAATCCATTTTGCATGGTTCAGGCGGAGTTTGCTTTCCCACCCAATGTCAGGCGGGTGAACTAAGATTCAAATTTGCCTAATCAGAGAGGTTCATCTCACAGGCTCTATGACTGGTCAATCCTGGGCACGTGGCCAAAGTAGGCAGGTCAGTGTCTTCCCTGGATCATGGCTGCTGACAAGGGTCCAGGCGGCCTGCCGTGTCCTTCAAGGTCTTCCTCCCTGTGGAGGCTGGGCTCGACCTCCCCCCTCCTCCTCCTGCAGACGTGACCTCTCCTGTGTTTACTGTGCTGGCTTTTGCCCCTTGGGGAGCTCTAAGCCACGGTGCATGGCTGTAAATATCTTGGAGCAGGGACACTCGGGCCAGCTGGGAGTACCCGAGTGAGGACAGAGTGAGGGCAAGGCCCCTGGGGCCAGCCCGCCCTGCCCCAGCCCTCCCACAGGGGGCCACGTGTGCCCACAGTGAAGAGCCCGAGCAGATGCCCGGGAGATGGCCGTCCTGGGTCACCTTTTCCGAGACTCTGGATTTTCAGGTATTCCTTCCATGAACTCGAATGAAGTGAGTTCATGAGGAGAGAGACGACACTTCACTTCCTTGGAAGAGGAATCATTTCCTCCAAGTTGAGGCACCGTAAGATTACTTGTAAGCAGGGAACTCAAAGTGGGCTCTCGCTGTGGCTGGGAGTAGCTGCTGCTGGAGCTTCAGAAGAACACGTTACAGGAAACGGATGCCAAGGTGCCACCCCCCAGCCAGCCTTCCTCGGGCAGAGCTCTCCTGACCCCAACCAGGTTACAGAGTAGAGGAGGGTCCCAAGAGGGAGTGATGCTGGTGGCTGCTGTGTGAGAGCTGTCGGCTGGCACCTGTCTTAGAGGCAGAATGATGGATAATTTGGGAGCGTGAATGGCTTGTGTCCACTTGTAAGACGTGACAAAGGCACACACTTGGGTTCACAGTTACTGCACTTAACATGCCCGTCTTCAAGCCTCGACGGAGACGAGAGATTTCAGGTCTACCTCTTGGAAAGAGTCTCCTCTCGCTCCTACATTACATCAATTTCATGTCTGTGAGTTCTTAATAATGGAACACTTAGATGTTTTGCCATTATCAAGAGATAAAACTTAGCCTTTCAGAGGGAATTTCGACAGCATGCTGTATTTTGTAATTATGTCAGAAGTGATAGATTTTAATTACCAGTTTTACCTTCAGAGTGATATGACTTATATTTGTAATTGTAATTTGGAAGTTCCCAATGTCATTATGTCTTTTGAAGGAGTCATGACGGCATCTCAAATGAAGCCCACAATTTACTCATTCTAATCTTTTACTTAAAATGATTCTATTATGCAAATGTACCTCTCCAGCTCAGTCAATCAGCTCTTCTTGCCTGCTGCTC